CAGGAAATTATTTGCAAGGAATTTATGCCTACAATGGACTACATTTCGACGACTATTACAATTGAATAGCAATTTATTATATTTACAACATTTGACGAATAGATTATTGTTTGAAAGCATGTCTTCGGATGAATTGAATTAAATGTTGTGTTATTTGGGAAACCGTTTTACAGCTCTATTAAGTAATCATATATTCTGTATATGTTTTGCACTCAATTGAGGCGATCATTGAGAATGACTGGTGAGATGTGAGACGAAGAGCTCTTTATATGACAACAAATCGATATTTTTAGACTAGATTTCAGACAACTTTATGTCGTATTCATTCAACGCTTAAATGCACTGAACATTAATACTTCACATCTAAAAGAGTGCAACAATTTTCAAAAAAGTACTTCAATTTAATTCTCGAGACTATAGTCGAGAGTTAACTGTTATATCAAATGAATTGCATTATCTCTTAGAAAATTAAACTTTGATTTTATTTCATAACAATAAACCGGTATTACAATAGATTTGGTACAAAATCATTACATCAAGTTTTCCATACAATTAATACCACTTATTTAGAGTTCATTTTACTTTTATATTGCATTAAAAATATATCAAATTATATAATGATTGACAAAACAAATAACTTGAAATCATGTTGTGATCACAGGATTCTTCATATTCTCGTCACATTAATCATGTGTTTTGCGGATCCAACTCATGAGCGAACCGTTGTGAAACCGAAAGGAGCCTTAGAGAACCTAAAGCCCGAGTAGAACACTACTGACTTAGGTAACTCGTTTATTACTCAAGTAAAACAGCGCTGAGTTAACCAATCACAATAATTGCCAGCCTTATTGAGTTTTTGGTTTGAAAAACGATACAAAACGCTGTAATTCAGTATAACTCGAGTGTTCGCTGTATTCAATGCCTATTCGTCCCAAAAATAAATCACTTGTAAAACGGATCAAATATTTTGTTCCGAGAGATTATAACTGACCATAAATTGTAATATTCTTGTATTTGCGTACTTTCACGCCATTCTTCGAGTTCTTGTTGTGTTCCCAACCCGTGGGCCGAAAGGCCACCACTTCGTCGTACAAACCATCAAATTCTTTGAGATATTCCTCTAAAAACTAAACATAATTCAAAATGAGATGCATTTTAATGGCAGACATATATGGATTCAATTCAATTACATTTTCGTTTATAGAATTCATGCTCAAGACATGGATTCTTGACTGTTGTCTATACGGGACGAGAACTGAATCCATTTCTTCACTTTTATAACACTTGTAAATCTGTTGTTTCGTTGGATTCGTCCAAACTTTAAGTCCTAAAGCATTTGCGATCTCAATGAAGACATTCTCTTTGCCGATGGTATAAGTGCCACAAACTATCAGCACTTTCTTATTCTTCTTGTAGTGCTCGTCAGCGATGGACACAATTGTCTTTAAAATGTCTTTTTGTGGCAAAAAGTCATACTTGGGATCGCAATAAGTTGTGTCCAAAAATATGGTATCAATTGGTTTGCAAATGAGCTGTTGATACGCGAAGAATGAGTGGTTGGCTCTGAAGTCTCCGGTGTGGAGATAACGACAGCCATTACTCAACTCGAAGAGTATGACAACAGCTCCGGGACAGTGATTGGCCTCAAAGAAAGTGACTTTCGTTGACAACACGTCTCGCGTTTCGTTCACTTGAATCACATTCAATGAAAACAATCCGTTCTTAAAGTGATTCCTCACTAAAGAGGCAGTGATTGGCGAACAATAGATCTGATGGTTGAATGAGTTCTTGAGACCCGTGTAATGGTCTGAATGGAAATGCGTTAAGAAGTAGACCTTCGCGTCCGGTATTGAGCCGTAACTGAAGGCGTCGACAACGAAACCCGTGTTCGGGATCTTCTTATAAAAGGGACAAATCTTCGGACCATTTCTGGCAAACTTTGTCCTAACATTGTCTCGTGATAACTGATGTAAAAACTGGTGAAGAAGTAAACGTCAGTTAAAGGCAAAAAGCGGAGAAAACTGTTTGAGAAACTGTAAGTTAAATCACAGGCAAAATATTCTGTTAACAGCTAGTGAAAAGAGATCTAATCGTTGATCGGAAGGAGTGGTGAAGAATGACGTGATTTTAGTTTGTTTTGCCATTTCTTCACCGATTTTTGTCATCAATTGAGTCTTGCATTTGAATTTCAATTGAAATTTTCAAATCTATTGACAAAACACTTAAGACTTTCATAAATACTGTCATTGAATGTAACGTTTGATCCCATGTTATAATAAATTCACTCTTCATTTACTTTACTTTAATTATTATTATATATTTTCAGATCATTTAATTAAATACTATTTTTATAATAAATGTTGATTACTATATATTTACTTTAATAGTAAATAATGGCAACAATTTATTTAAATCCATTATTTTCTGGTATTATTCAGAGTTCTCTTTATTAAAGTAAACTTTATTTAAAACTTTTCAACTTTTCTCATACAAATGTTTACAGACATGTATTCAATTATATTACTGTTATATTTAATGTAATTTAAAATTGAATTCAAAATTAATGCAAATATTTAACTATAAAACTAATAAAATATTTATTTAATGCCAAATGAATTAAATACAATTAAACAAAAATAATTTCACTTTTGGTTTCACTTGAAATAGAAAAATATATAAAATTATAGAAATAGATTTGAATACCAAATACAGTATTACAATAGATTTAAATCTAACATTTAAAACAAATCTTTAAAATACAATCACAAGAATTAATGAGAATTCAAAAGATAATTAAAACTAATTAATAAAACACAAATTATATTACAAAATAATTACCAAATCGTTAACTAATTAATGATAGTATGATTTAATGATATATTAATTGTTTAATTGATTGGTTGATTGGTGTGAGTGATGACTGATGTGGGCATTGAGAAGAATGTGGCCGTTGAAGCGACGGGTGTTCTGTTTGCGGTCAACAATTCGTTCACTTCATTTTCAAGGATATGGATTTTTCGTGAATATTGTTTGTTCTCTTTGAACGCTTCTCTCTCTTCTTTCAACTCATTTTCTAGGCTTTCGTTCTCTGATTTCAGAGTTAGGATGAGTTCGTCGTTTGTCCTCCTCTGGGATTCGCTCTCTAACTGAAGGTCAAGATATTCAGCGGACAAGTGGTCGACTTGAGCCTCCAATTCACTGCAATTGGCTTTCAATAAATCAAACTTTTCGGTCGTTTCGCTCACTTCTTTCCGAATGGATTCGTATTGACTGCACTTTTCCACTAAAAAGGCGACATTTGCGCCATTTGTTTCGCCATCTCTTCATTTTCAGACGTTTTATCGTTCAATTGTCTGCACTTGTCTTCAAGAGTGATCTCGAGTTCTTGTAATTTAATATTTACGACACAATCCATTGTCTTTCCGACTGAACTGCCGTTAAAAGAAGTGACAGATCTATTGAGCGATTCTTTAATTGATTGATTGAAGTCATCGACAGAGATATTAAGATCTCTTTGTTTGAGCTTTTCTTCGCGAAAAATATTCAACATTTCATTGAGTTTCACGTTTTCGAGCCTTTCTTTCTCCAGATCTCTGGCCATATCTCTCATCGACTCTTTGGATGCATTCAACGCCTGTAACTCATGGTCTTTCTCTCGGCATTTGAGCGCCAAATCACTCATTTTGGTCTTCAAAGTGTGCAACTCTTGTGTCTTTGTGTCCACACTTTTGTACAGCGTTTTCAACTCTTTAGCGTCGGACTCGAGCTGTTTGTTCAGTGATTGGTTCGCGTCTTTCATTTGCGACAATTGATGGCATGTTTTGTCGTATTTGTCTTTCAGTGTCTCGTATTCGGCGAACGCAACGCTATTGTCGCGGATCTCTCTTAACTCTTGGAGTAAAGCCATTTGTTCGGCGATCTTCTTGTCTTTCATCTTATTCTCCTTCACCGCAGACTCGAGAAGCGCTTCAGACTTACGCGAACGGAGCTGAAGCTCATTCCTGATGGCAATGATCTGCTTCTTGTGGTTGTTCTCCATTTCCATCGCTTCCTCTTCTGGCAACACAACCACCGATCGATTGCTATCTGATTGGCACAAATGAATAGATTAGTTGTCGACAAAACAATGGATCACTTTTTTGGACACAAATGTAATGAGACCAACGATTTGATTGAGAGTAAAAACTAATGTGAATTCAATACATGTTTGGCTCAGTCTTATATACCATAAGCTGAGCTCAGGTTTACAGAAAAATAATAATTAAATAAATATTTAACATTACATAAAAATTTAATGATTAAATAGTCATTCAGTACTCATTGGAAAATAACAGAACATTAGGTTAATCCTAATTACTGTTAGTTCATTCACATTATACTTATACTGTATTGTCTATCAATGAGTAACTTGAATATATTAACACAAACTTATTGTTTGATATACCGTATAAACATTTAATTGGTAAAAAAAGGATAACTTTATTAATTAATTTTAATAAATTATAATTAATTATATTTATAAATTAAGATGTTTTGTAAAATTTCTTAATATCAGCGAAAATGTGTTTAAATTAGGACTTAATATAATCTTCAATTCATATAAAGCTTACAATTAGTTAGATTTAAATCATTTTAATTACAATTACTTTTTATAAAGACGAGTAAACTTTATTTGAAACTTTTAAACTTTTCTCATATTTACAGACATTTATTCAATAATATTATATTTAATGTAATTTCTGATTGAATTCAAAATTAATAAAAATATTTATTTAATGCCAAAACATTTCGTTTTAAATACAATCAAATAAACATGAATTTACTTTTAATTTCATTATTCTTGGAGTAAAAAAATATAGAAATAGATGTGTTTTGAATTTCAAATATTACAATCAAAACATTTAAAACAAATAATAATAATCTTTAAAATACAATCACAAGAATTAATGAGAATTTAAAAGATAGTAAAAAATAATCAATTTTTAAAAATAAACAGAAACTATATTACAAAATGATTACCAAATCGTTAACTATTTAATGATATACAATATATTGACGGAATTCTAATAACAAATATGACATGACATTGTGTGACACAATTAGTGTCTACTTCTTGTTTGGAGTCCATGTCTTGGCGTTGCCTTTCATCATACGTTTAAACATTTTAGTCGGCGTTAAGTTCTTGACACTTACTTTACTTGAATTATACCGAATATTCTCGACTCTAAAACATTTTTATGTAATAAAACAATAATTATTAATTATATTCACATATCATTTAAATGTCAATAATTTATAAATAAAACTAAATACCAAAAGCATATCAAATAATTTTGTTTTATTTAAAACTTAACAAAAACTTTTATAGACGACTGAATGAGAGAATTGCTTACCTCTTATTGAATGTCTTGTCATTAATGGTATTAATGGAGACGTTATCACAACTAATAGAGCTATTGTTTCGACGGGAAGTGAATTCACTTCTTTGATAACTAATGTTCTGAATTTGTTTCAAAGGGTTCAGCGAATCATTAGAAACGAATCCGCGTTGCAATGCCTTCATTGACTCATTGGATGGAAAGCCATTTTTAATGCTTTCGGAATCGACCACTTTGTTGGGCATAAACGGCAGTTCAACGCCATATGATGTCTTCAGATGCGGCAAAACCAATGTATTCCGTCTTTGAAGTATTGAAAGTCTCTCTTCGTCCAGATGTGAGTCACTGAGAGAGCATTCGCCACGTTTTAGTGCAATCAAATTGTTGGGATCCATGAACTCTCCGTCTTCGTCAGCCATCGTCAACCGACTCCCGGTTCCCGTCGGAAGCTTTCGGCTTATATTCAATGAAAAACTACTTGAATTGGGATTCGAGTGCGAGATATCCATCGGAGATATACTCAGATTTGTTTGATTGTTTGGTTGATTGGTGTGAATGTTGACTGTTGTGGGCATTGAAAAGACTGGGCCCGGGTGGGCGACGGGTGGTGTTCTGTTTGCGGTCAACAGTTCGTTTAGTTTTTTCACTTCGTTTTCAAGGAATTGGATTTTTCGTGAATATTGTTCGTTCTCTTTGGACAGCCTTTCCTTCGTCTTCCTCTCAAACATAAAAGACATTTCTTCGGTATTGAGTCTTGTATTCAAATCTTTAATACTTTTCTCGTATTCTTCAATAGTTCTCTCATTTCGCTTGTTTTCAGTCAATTGACTCTCAAGTTGTAAGCGTTTGTTCTGCTCTTCTGATAACATTTGAGCCAAACTTGACTTTTCTCTCTTTAGAGACGTAAACCGTTTGTCGACAATTGCATGCATTTCTTGCAACTCTTCATTGGCTTTAATACCATTTAACTTCTCGTTTTTGAGTTGTGTTTCCAAAACAATTTTCTCTTCAATAATGGAATCCATTTCACGTTTCATATTCTCATAAATCTGTTTCTTTATATCATTCAGTTCTTGTGTTAATACATCCTTCGTTTCGCTCAACATTTGGTTCTCTTCAACTGTTTTCTCGTTCTTGAGTTTAATGTCTTCCATATCGAGAGTCAAAACTTTAATCGCTTCACTCATTACTCGCTTCTCTTCGGATGTATTTTCGACTAAAACTTTCAAATCATTTAATTCTTTGGCTAAAACTTCTTTTGATTCAACCAATGATTTGTTCTCATCTGATATCTTATTTATTCTTTCATTTATATCAACAATTTCTTGTAGTTTTACATCCAATTGTTCTCTCATTAAATCCATCTCTTCAGCAAACTTTTTGTTCGTCTTTTCTGACAATTCTTTCTCTTCTTTCAACTCGTTTTCTAAGCTTTCAATTCCTGTTTTCAGAGTTTTGATGGTTTCGTCGTTTTCCTTCTTTTGGGATTCGCTCTCTAATTGAAGACTGAAATATTCATCAGACAATTGGTTGACTTCGGCTTTAAATTGGTTGCAATCAGTTCTTAATAAATCCAATTCTTGATCCTTATTCTTAACTTCTTTTTGGATCGACTCGTATTGACAGCATTTCTCTTCCAATTTGGTCTTCAATTGAAACAATTGATTCTTAATCTCTTGATTAGCAGTAATGACACTCACCTTCTCTTCATTGAGTTGTGTTTCCAAACGTGTCTTCTCTTCAATAATGGACTCCATTTCACGTTTCATATTCTCATAAATTCTTGTCTTCATATCATTGAGTTCTTGAGTTAAGACATCCTTTGTTTCGCTCAACAATTGGTTTTCTTCGTTTGTTTTCTGGATCTGTTGTTTACTCTCTTCAAGATTTTGAGTTAAAACAGCATTTGTTTCACTTATGACTCGCTTTTCTTCGGCTGTATTTTCGACCATAACTTTCATATCATTTAATTCCTGAATCAAAACTACTTTTGATTCAACCATTGATTGGTTCTGTTCTTCTAATTCACCAATTTTTTCCTTCAAATCAATCGCTTCTTCTACCTTAACGTCCAACTGTTCTCTTATGAAATCCACCTCTTTTTCAAACTTTTTATTCGCCATTTTTAACTCTTCTCTCTCTTCTTTCAACTCTTTTTCTAGACTTTCATTTTCCGTTTGCAGAGTTTGGATGAGTTCTTTGTTTGCCTTACTCTGGGATTCACTCTCTAACTGAAGACTAAGATATTCTGACGACAAGCGCTCGACATTGGCCTCCATTTGATTGCAATTGACTTTTATTAAATCCAATTCTTGATTCTTTTCGTTGACCTCTTTCTGAATAGACTCGTATTGACAACATTTCTCTTCTAAACGGCTTTCAATTTCTTGAATCGCTTGAATGCCATTCATCTTCTCTTCTTTAAGTTGTGTTTCCAGAAGTGTTTTCTCTTTAATAACTGAATTCATTTCATGCTTTATATTTTCAATGCTGTCCTCTCTATCACTGAGTTGTTGTATCAAAACATCTTTCGAGTCATTCAACAGTTTATTCTCTTCGCATTTATTATCAATCGTTTTCTTCATATCAATCACGTCTTCGATCTTCTCCTCCAATTGTTCTCTCATTAGAGACATTTCTTCTCCGAACTTCTTATTCGCCTTTTCTGTCGCTTCTCTCTCTTCTTTCAACTCATTTTCTAGGCTTTCGTTCTCTGTTTTGAGAGTTAGGATGAGTTCGTCGTTTGTCTTCCTCTGGGATTCGCTCTCTAACTGAAGGTCAAGATATTCAGCGGACAAGTGGTCGACTTGAGCCTCCAATTCACTGCAATTGGCTTTCAATAAATCAAACTTTTCGGTCGTTTCGTTCACTTCTTTCCGAATGGATTCGTATTGACTGCACTTTTCCACTAAAAAGGCCTCCATTTGAGACATTTGTTTCGCCATCTCTTCATTTTCAGACGTTTTATCTTTCAATTGTCTGCACTTGTCTTCAAGAGTGGTCTCGAGTTCTTGTAATTTAATATTTACGACACAATCCATTGACTCTCCGACTGAACTGCCGTTAAAAGAAGTGACAAATCTATTGAGCGATTGATTTATCGATTGATTGAAGTCATCGACAGAAATATTAAGATCGCTTTGTTTGAGCTTTTCTTCGCGAAATATATTCAACAGTTCATTGAGTTTCACGTTTTCGAGCCTTTCTTTCTCCAGATCTCTGGCCATATCTCTCATCGACTCTTTGGATGCGTTCAACGCTTGCAACTCATTGTCTTTCTCTCGGCATTTGAGCGCCAAATCACTCATTTTGGTCTTCAAAGTGTGCAACTCTTGTGTCTTTGTGTCCACACTTTTGAACAGCGTTTCCAACTCTTTGGCGTCGGACTCGAGCTGTTTGTTCAGCGATTGGTTCGCGTCTTTCATTTGCGACAATTGAAGGTATGTTTTGTCGTATTTGTCTTTCAGTGTCTCGTATTCGGCGAACGCAACGCTATTGTCGCGGATCTCTCGTAACTCTTGGAGTAAAGCCATCTGTTCCGCGATCTTCTTGTCTTTGGTCTTATTCTCCTTCACCACAGACTCGAGAAGCGCTTCCGACTCATCCAAACGGAACTGAAGTTCATTCCTGATGGCAATGATCTGCTTCTTGTGGTTGTTCTCCATTTCCATCGCTTCCTCTTCTGTTAACACAATCACCGATCGATTGCTGTCTGAATGACACAAATGTGTGGATTAGTTGTCGACAAAACAATGGATCACTTTTTTGGACACAAATCTCAAAATGGTTTCACTTTTCAAATAATGTTTTGCTTTTCTCTCGAAAACAGTAATGAATTAAATGTTTAATGCATTTAAAATACAGTCTCTTTTCAAACGTTTTTATAAATAATAAGATACGGCTCGCGATTGGCTTACAATTCAACAACAATTTAACGTAAGTGTAGCGCAAATATATACCCTTTTTATAGTACAGATCGCGTGTTACAATGTGTGACAAAAGGGACCAAATTGTGTGATGAGTTGTATTGTGTTTAGTATTTGGCTTTAAAACACTGCTCTCATTGATTAAGTTGAGCGCAAAGTCCGCCCATTTGTCACATTCATAGAGTCTATGCAATCATTAACTGTCACTTCGTTTCCCTGACTATTCATAGATTAGATAAAGTGATTTAAATCCCACTCTTTTTATGAGCAATAAATTATTAAAACTATTCAATAAATGCAGTAAAAAGTATTCAAATACACGTACAATACATAAATTGACCATGATTGACATATCATCATGGCAATATCTCACCTCATAAAACGTTATAACTATTTAGTGTCCTATGAATTAAATTAATACAAACTTTAGACAAACAATTTTCATTAAATTTGGATACAATACAAAATACAAACAATTGGTGTATCGATAATATAAATAATTATTAATTTAGACATAAATGACACTAAATTAGGACTCACTTCCACTCATTATCAACGCTCCCGAAGATATGTTGAGGAATGGGATGAAAGATGCGCTCATATGTTGTCAGCAATTAATACAACGATTAGTATAAAAATAACTAAAAACTAGGAATTATTAGTGTTTTGTTTGAATGCAATACGAATTGCACTTAATATTCAACAAATTTGATCAAATATTGGATAAAAACTTCAATAAATCTTTCAATAAAATGGCATAAAAATTATGGCAAACAATGAATGAATGAAAGCGATGAACGCAAACAAAATATTGTCCCTGTTCATGTTATCGTTCACTATTAGTAATATCCAGACTTAATCCTAATCGTGTGATAATCTTAATCCCAATCATGAGATGTCCATTAAATACAAGTGTATCATAAATCTATTAATGCCATCAAATTGTTGTCACAATTATCGCAATGTTAAGCCCCCTTCACATCCCCCACACCATCGCGTAATGGTGTCTATGAATGGCTCATCACTTAAACCAAAAACATTAACAATAATAAGAAATAAAGTTTTGATTTGAAAATTAATTTGAATGTAAATTAAGTGCAAAATAATGTCATTTTGCGGACAATTGAAGAAATGTGTATTAAATGCTGCAAACAATTCGTTGGCAGTAATGCTGAGAAGTGGTGTCCACTCGAGTGGTGTCCTCCAGAAAGAGGGCGATCGGCGGTCAATGATGAAGGGTTTGCCGAAGACTGACGAGGGCTCTGCCGGCGAACGCTTCCACTTCGGGGGCTTCGATAAAGTGGTGGACTTTCCCTCTCTGGACACTCCCAACACACTCTTCGACGACATCCCATTCAAAGAGCTGCCAATACTGCACATCAAGAGCACCAAAAACAACACGATCTTCGCGTTGTGTCGACCGGACGGCCACTTCATACTCACCCGGAGCTGCGGAATGGAGGGCTTCAAGAACTGCCGGAAGGGCACTAATGTGGCCGCACAGGTGACCGCTGTGGGCATGTCTGCCCGCATCACTAAAATGGGTTACAAGACTGTCCGCGTTTGCATCAATGGTTTGGGACCCGGAAGGCTGTCCTCAATCAAAGGCCTCCAAACGGCCGGCATTAACATCGTCTCCATTACAGACACGACACCCATCTGTGAGATCCCCATCCATAGACCCCCCGCCGCCCGAAGCGTTTAGTAGTCATATGTTTTTGTTTGTTATCAAAGTTATAGACATTTAATAAATTTCAAAGACAGCCTTTTATTCATTAAAAATAAAATTGTAATAAAAATACATAAAATGGTCGAAATCTCTATGAAATAAATTATTAATTTAGAGAAACTATTCCTTCATTTACTGACACTTTTTTGTTTGAAGAAAGCTTTTTGTCAAATCTATTGATTACTCTTTGTTTATCATAATTGTCTTCATTTGTTTTATACATCTTTAGAACCTTTAAGACAAGAATTTGGATCAATTCAAAGAACTAATTATCAATTTTTTAATACCTTTTTCTGGAGTTTCTTTAGAGACAACTCTTTACTCTCGGATTCCTTCAATATTTTCACAATAACTTTATTCATATTTAATTTGGTGTTTGACTCCAAATCGGTCTCATCTTTCACGCCATTCGTCTCCTTATCTTCGGCTAATTGAGACGATTCCTCCTCTTTGTCATCACTTGCTTTCAATTTCTTGGAAGAACTCGATTCCGTCACTTCTGTCTCTACTAATCCTCTTTTATTGTCATCTCTTTGGCTATGGTTTCCATTAGTGTTTTGATTGGTTTGATTCAAGTCGAGAGCCTTCCTGAAGATGTCCCACAATTGTTGGATATAATAAGTATTGTTAACGCGAAGACTGTTTTTGATGAAATTAAAGAATGGCTTTTCCTTCCGAGGAATGTTAGTATAGGTGACGAGTCTTTGCATTAAACCCTTGATGTGAGTGTTGGCCGTCGACTCCGCGATCGCTATCTTTATTTTCTGTCAAAACAATTAATACCAAAAGCAATGAAAAAATGGTTTGAAAATAACAATCGAGATATGAAAACAAACCTGAATCCATTCCTCTTGCTTTTGCTGACCTTTGTTTGTGTTGGCCTTCGGCTGATAGTCGAGTCCACCGTATTTCTGGTCTTCGGACACACACTGTGTGTGAGAGCTATAGTCGCGTCTGAGATATCAA